CACACACACACACACACACACACACACACACTGTATTGCCAGAAGTATTGAGACACCCCCTTCTAATGAGCAGGTTTGACTGCTTTAGTCATTTCCATGAGTACAAATCTCAGTGTTTAAGCATATAACGATATTCTAGGGAATTGTGCTTCTAATTTTATAGCAACAGTTTGGACAGGGCCCTTTTTTATTCTAACATGACAATGCCTCTGTGTATAAGACAAAGTTAAGAAAAGAAATGATTGATTCAGTCAGTGTGGAAGAACTTGAGTGGTCTGCAGAAACCCCAGCTGAACACCTCTGGCGTGATTTTAAATGCTGACCTTGAGCCAAAAACTCAACACCAATGACTTGTACAAAAGTATTGGGACACCCCACAGAAAAAGGCACTTCCAAAACTGTAGCTACAAAGATGGAAACAAAATTCATGTATTTAAAAATTGTATTTCCATCTCTTTTGCAACAGTTTTGGAAGTGTCTAAAATGACTTTACTCATATCCTTTTGCATTTAAATCTTGATTAACCAATCCTGCCGTTCATAAAGAACTTTGTTTTCCTACCTCCAGGAGTGCATCTATTATTGCCTTGTTTATCTAAAAGTGCTCTTTTCCTTTAAAACTAGCCAACAAGCCATATGTGTTGACTGTGAAAGACAGTATGCTTTAATTATATGCATTTATGGTGCAATTGCTACATTTTCGTTTTCATATGTACTGTATAAACGAGCGCTGAATGGTTAAACACTGGCAAGAATAAAAAAGTAATCCAAAAAACTTTACTTGTATAAACTTTAGTGACGACGTGACACTGCCTCGATTGTGCAAGTGACAATTCCTGTGTCGACTGTGCAGCGTGCAGCTCGCTTATAGACAGACGCGATGTGTGGTGATTTGAAGTAGGGCTGCACGATAAATCGCATGCGATATTTAATGAGCATCTTGTCAGTAAAGCTGTTCTGTAATCAGCGGTAAATCTCCATCACCTGCGGGATTCACATGGAGCAGCATTAACTACACAGAGCTGTTGTTCACCGACAAGCTGCGCAAAACATGCGCAAAATATGATCGTGGTTTTGCGCAGCTTGTCAGCGAACAACGGCTCTGTGTAGTTAAAGGGATAGTTCACCCAAAAATGAAAACTCTGTCATCATTTACTCACCCTCATGTCGTTCCAAACCTGTATGAGTTGCTTTCTTATGTTGAACACAAAATAAGGTATTTTGAAGATTGCTGGTAATCAAACAGTTGGTGGTTGCCATTGACTTCCATAGTAGGAAAAAAATACTGTGGAAGTCAATGGTAACCACCAACTGTTTGAAGCAACTCATACAGGTTTGGAACGACATGAGGGTGAGTAAATGATGACAGAATTTTCATTTTTGGGTGAACTATCCCTTTAATGCTGCTCCATGTGAATCCTGCAGGTGATGGAGATTTACCGCTGATTACAGAACAGCTTTACTGACAAGATGCGCATTAAATATCGCATGCGATTTATCGTGCAGCCCTAATTTGAAGCCATTTGCGTATTTTGAGAAAGAAAGAGAGAGCGTGTGGTGATTCACTCAAGCTGTTTGTGAAATTACGTCTCACACAAGGTTTTCAAATTACTTTATATTACCCTAGTTAAAATGTTTTGATTCAATCAAACCAGTGACCACAGTGTAAAATAAATAGTAGATTTTCTCAGTAACACTTTATTAGTATAGTTTCATGGTATTAAAGAAAATACAATAAAGTTATAATTCTCAACTTTTATTAAAATATGAGCAAACATTATTACATGTATAATGCAGATAAGGAAAGGATCACCAGGGTCATTTTCACAGGTCATGTGACGCTACTTGATTTTTGTTACAGTCAAATTACCCTAATTAACAGTGGTATCAAGCTTCAAATGTGGAGTAAATTTTCATGAAAAGCTTATCATCCCTTTAAAAGTATTTCATTCTCATTTGTTTCAGTATCTGTATAACAATAAAAAAGATAACTGTAACAATTTACCATAAGATTCCATTGGCTAACCTTAGATTACACTAGTTAAGGTGAAATAAAACACAGACTAAAAATACTTCTAAAGCAATTATTAATCTTAGTGTTAATTTCAGCATTTACTAATACATTGTTAAAATCAAAAGTTGAATCTGTTAAAAATCAATCTGAGCTAAGATGCACTAACATTCAACAGTTTAATTTGTATTAACAACAATTATGTTATGCTTATTGTTAGTTAATGCTAACTAATGGGACCTTTTTGTAAAGTGTTACTAAGATCTCATTTGTATTCAGTGACCAGAGTGGGTTTGGATGTTTTTGACACTTAGAGAAATGCGGGCAGTAGCTCTGAAGGTACAGAGGATTCAGACTTCTCCGCTGAGCACACAGACAGCTCCGAGAGTGACGTCCACACGGTGAGAAACACCCGCCTCACTCGCTCCTCACTGCGCCTCAGCCGCAACTCGCAAGGTAAGACTGATCACTTACTTAGAGCTCTTCAGTAAAAGTATAGATTTACTAATAATGATGCTAACAATAACTTTGGGCTGTGGAAATGATGAAATTATAAAATATTAATGTCATTTTTTTTTATACCCTTAATAAATTTTTTTTTAAAAGGTTTACATCTTAGGTAATGGGTTGACTGGTAAGCATGATGGATGGAGAACAAATAACAGAAGAATGAGCGAATAAACCTGAGAGCTTTGTTTCTAGATTCCAGTCCTGTGGGGAACCCGTCTGCCCCGGTTTCAGAGGAGGTGGTGAACTATTCCACCCGTCGCGTGACTCGTAGTCAACAGCAGGGGCTGACAGACTTGCCCAAGAAATACCCCTTGCGGCAGAGTCGCTCTTCTGGCTCAGACACGGAGCAGCATGGGGAAATCTCAGAGAGGGGTAGGAGGAGAAAACCGCATGGTTCTTCACTCATGCCTTCCCTCATTTGAGTATCTCCATGCTTTGCTCTGCTCACATGTGCTTCTCTTCATTCGCTTAGTTATTTTTTTCTTCACGGCTCATCACAGATTTTCCTCAGTTCATACAACATGTTAACCATTCAAAAGTTTGAGGTCAGTAAGAATGTTTTTTTCCTTTTGTTTTGAAATTGTCTATTAATCAAAGAATCCGGAAAACAGTTTCCAAAAAATATTAAGCAGCACAACAATTTTCAATGTTGATAATAAGAAATGTTTGTTGAGCACCATATAAGCATATCAGAATGATTTCTGAAGGATCATGTGACACTGAAGACTGGAGTAATGATGCTGAAAATTCAGCTGTGCATCACAGGAATAAACTACATTTTAAAATATATTACAATAGAAAACTGTTATTTGAATCTAATAATATTTCACAATATTTCTGTTTTTACTGTATTTTTGATCAAGTAAATGCAGCCTTGTTGAGCAAAAGAGACTTCTTTCAAAAACATGTTAAAAACCTTACTGACCTTAAGCCTTGAAATGGTAGTGTACATAATTTTCATAATTCTTTAAGATTTAAACTTTTAATTATTTGAAGTAATGCATTAGACTTTCATAATATCTAATTTCATGTAATTTTTGTGGCTTCTTAAGATGTGTTAAATTTGAATAAAATTAAGTTTAAAATTAGATTGAAAAATTAAAGTTTATCTGAAGTAAACAAAAATATTTTGTTTATATTGTCATGAATTACAGCAACAATCAAAATTTTATAATTGATAGATGCCATTTTTAACATGAATGATCATCATTGATACAAAAAAAAGTTTATACTACAGATTACTAATGGATATAATGTGATTGACATTTTAATCTCAACTTTTGAGAGACATGGTTTGAACGGTATGTGGTTAACTACACCTTCACTTTAACCTCCTCTTGTTTTTATTGTTTTATTCTTCCTTTTCTCTGTAGTTTTTGCCATTTTCAATTTATTCATGTAATGATATACACCTTATTCCATTCTTAGATTTCATTCAGTCCCGTTTTCTGTTGTGTTGGTCATCCAGACATTAAACAAAGCGCAGACCATGATGAGTCCCCACCCAGGACGCCCACAGGAAACGCTCCTTCCTCTGAGTCTGACATCGACATGTCCAGCCCAAACGTGTCTCATGATGAGAGTCTGGCAAAGGAGTTGTCTCTGAAAGAATCCGGCCTTGCTCACCGGCCCAAACGACGACGCTTTCATGAGAGCTACAACTTTAACATGAAGTGCCCCACACCTGGTTGTAATTCACTCGGTAATTGGATTCCAGGTCCTTCATCTTAATTGTTAAGAATATTTACACTAGCATTCAAAAATTTGTAGTAAGATTTGTTGTTTTGGGGAAAAAAAGTCTGTTATGTTCACCAAGGCTGCATTTATTTGATCAAAAATACAGTAAAATTGTGATTATGATTAAAAATAACTGTATTCTATTTTCATTTATTGCAATTTATTCCTGTGATGCAAAGCTGGATTTTCATCAGCCATTACTCCAGTCTTCAGTGTCACATGATCCTTCAGAAATCCTTCTAATATACTGATTTTGTGCTTTGAAAACATTTCTTATTATTCATGTTTTTATTTATGAATGTTGAAAACATTCATTCTTTGATATTTAGGAAGTTAAAAAGAGCAGCTTTTATTTATATTGGAAAACTCTTGTAGTCCTTATGAATGGCTTTACTGTCCATTTTGATCCATTTAATGTGTTCTTGCTAAATAAAAGTATTTGTTTCTTTTAAAACAATTAATTTACAAAAACCAAACTTTTGAATGGTAGTGTATTTGTTTCATTTATGTATTAATAGTGGCTTTACTTTTCTTCTAGCAGGATTGTTTTGTGTTCAGGCTTGTTTAAATGCTTAAACATTTAAGTTCAACCTTAATTCGTCCTTCAGGACATTTGACAGGGAAACACGAAAGGCACTTTTCAATATCTGGATGTCCACTGTACCATAACCTTTCAGCAGATGAGTGTAAGGTAATGCTCATGCGTGTCATTTTGACTAAACCTTTAGCCAGATTTATTGTGCTTAAACAGCAAGGTTTACCAAAAAATCAAACCTTTTACTCAGGTGAAGGCAAGCTCTCGAGATAAACATGTGGAGGAGAGGACGCTGTCACAGCGGCAGGATGAGAATCGGCACTCCGCTCGGCAACAGGTAAAGCTGCGCACCGAGTATTTAACGTCCTGCCTCTTGGACCGGTATGTGCCCTAGTAGTGACCCCCAATGTTTGACATTCTCTTAAGAGCTGCTTTCAGATTTTATGTGCAGTGAACATTGCATGTTAATGAGCCTCAACTAGCGCTCACATTCTCTGAGTTACCTCCCCTCCAGGCCCAAACGGAGCGACAGCTGCGGTATAAAGAAAAGGTGACAGAGATGAGGAGGAAGAGAAACTCCGCTCCTTTTAAAGAGCAAAAAGACAAGTATACAGTGAGTGTCACATGCTCCATATTTGCAGAAACCCCGTAGCAGATACATGTATCGGTTTCTGAGCTCTCGTTGTTTGACTCCCTCCAGGAGCACAAACAGACCCATGGCAGCAGTCATGAGCCTCTGCTGGAGAACATCACAAGTGACTATGACCTGGAGCTGTTCAGAAAAGCCCAGGCATGTGCTACGGATGATCTTGTAAGAGAGAAGACCCATCTCATTTTCTCCCTCTTGTTTTCTCCTTTTCCCTCTCTTTTTCATGAATCTGTAAAGATTGCGGTGGGCTGAGCCTTCTCACCACTGCATTCTGGGTTTTGCGATGGGCCTACGTTGGACTCTTCCACTGTAGCCCCCAAACTGCTGCCATTCTCTCATCTGTTGCATATGGGTGTTACTCAAAGTTTTAAGCAACATACTTTATCTGTCCTACCTTAAAGGGGTCATATGATGCGATTTCAATTTTTCCTTTCTCTATGGAGTGTTACAAGCTCTTGGTGCATAAAGAAGATCTGTAAAGTTGCAAAGACTAAAGTCTCAAATCCAAAGAGATATTCTTTATAAAAGTTAAGAGTCAGCCACGCCTACCTAAAACGGCTCGTTCTAACACGCCCCCACATATCTAGGTCACGATGTGGGAAGATTTGCATAATGCCACCCAAATGTTCACGCAAAGAAAGAAGGCGTAACTTTTATTCTCGCTGTAGTATTGTTGTTTCAGCCGCCATGTTGTAAAGACGCTGTGTGCTTCGTTGTGAAAGCGAAACTACTTTGTTTGGTCTTCCAAAAGAGGACGATATCTGCTTCCAGCTGATGTGCTGGTTGCTGAGGAAATACTACATCTTTGCGCTGTGGATCGCCGGATCGGCTTTCACCGTGGATGAAGTGGAGTCCAGCCCGGAGTCGGCACATGTCCTTCCGGACACTCCTTCGTCGAAATCGCCGGCCACGCCGTTCTGAAGCCCACCCGCTTCTGCTCACTCTAACCCTCCCGCCGTTCCTCACGCTAGCAGCCCGGCCTAGAGTAGAGCTTGTTGTTTGTCATTTCACATTTCATTACACCAAATACACAAAATAATGTTCTTTTTAGCAGCATCATATGACCCCTTTAAAGGAACAGCTCCAAAAATGAAAACTCTGACATTTACTAACCCTCATGGCATTTCAGTCCTGTATAGTATTATCTTCTAGAGCTTGACTGAAAAGAAAATAACAACAAAATTGAGTAAATAATAGCAGAAATATTTTTGGCTGAACTGTTCCAAAAAATATATATAATAATAATCTTGAGTAGGCATTACATGCACCTTCTTATTTTCTCCAGCTGATTTCTATCTTAACTTTTAATTTAACTCTTACATTTCTACATTCCCTTCTGTTTATTAATTAGTACTGTCTCTGAAAATGTACACCTCCATTCAAAAGTTTGAAGATCAGTAATATGTTTTTTAAAGAAAAAAGTATCTTATGTTCACCAAGGCTGCATTTAGAACTGTTTAAGTAACTGTTTACTATTGCAATTTATTCCTGCGATGGCAAAGCTGAAATTTTAGCAGTCATTACTCTAGTCTTCAGTGTCACATGACCTTCAAAAATCATTCTATATACTGATTTGTTGCTTAAGAAACATTTCTTATTATTATCAATGTTGAGAACTGTTGTATTGCTTGGAAACTGTGATACTGTAATTTTTGTTTGGTCCGTTTGATAAATAGAACGTTTGTAGAAAGAGTGTTTATAAGAAATAGAAATCATTTATAACATTATCAATTGTTTACAGTCAAGTTTAATGCATCCTTCCTGAATAAAAGTATTTCTTTCTTTCTTTCTTTCTTTCTTTCAAAACAAAAAAAATCTTACTGTCCCCAAACTTTTCAACTATAGAGTATCTCTCGATCTCGTCCTCAACCTCCTCATTCATGAATCTTCTTGTGGTAGGCTTCAGGGTTTTTCCTTCTATCTCTGTGCCGTCATTCCCTCCAGTCAGACCTGTGTTTCTCCCACCCTTCATTGGTCCTTGCAGGAAAAACTCCGGCTGCAGGGACAGGTCACGGAGGGCGGCAACATGATAAAGACCATTGTGTTCGGCCGCTACGAGCTGGACACCTGGTACCACTCGCCGTACCCCGAAGAGTACGCCCGCCTCGGCCGCCTCTACATGTGCGAGTTCTGCCTCAAATACATGAAGAGTCAGACCATTCTGCGACGTCACATGGTAACTCTTTCACACGTTCAGTTTAATTTTCAGTCTTCAAAATTCTTCAGTTCTGATTCTTAAGTTTTGTCCAACCTTGAATCAAAATGTTGAAAAGTGTGTTTTGTATTCACACATACACCTCTTTCTTATCTCACTTTTAATCAGGCCAAATGTGTGTGGAAACATCCACCAGGTGATGAGATTTACAGAAAAGGGGTTATATCTGTTTTTGAAGTGGACGGCAAGAAGAACAAGGCAAGAACAAAGACATTCCACAACGACTCTTGATTTTGAATTGGCTAACTGCAGGTCAGTAATTTGCAATCAATACTTGATTCTGCCTTGACACTGTCATTTGCCTTTTGCAGATCTATTGCCAAAACCTGTGCCTGCTTGCCAAACTCTTCCTGGACCACAAAACGTTGTATTACGATGTGGAGCCGTTCCTCTTCTATGTGATGACTGAAGTTGACAATACCGGCTGCCATCTTGTAGGATATTTCTCCAAGGTACTCTGTTAGTGACTCCAGTGCACATTAAGCTTCAGTTACCATGCACACTTGATTATTTTGTAGTAATCAAAATACGTATCTGGGTTTAGGAAAAGAATTCATTCCTGAACTACAATGTCTCCTGCATCCTGACCATGCCACAGTATATGAGGCAGGGTTATGGCAAGATGCTGATTGATTTCAGTGAGTGCAGTAGATCTAGACATTTGTATGCTTTTTATATGTTATGTCATTACTTTGTTAAGTTAAACAAGATTTCAAATGGTGATGTGAAAGGTACAATTGCAGTCATAGAATACATAATTTGTGCCATGTCATTTTGTTTTAGAAAAAACATTTAGGAACATGTTAGAATAGTTATTTTACCATATGGGCATGTGCACTTTTTGATGCTGCAGTTAATGGAAGACATGAATGTGTTAATGTGTGAATGGCTTGTTTGTGCACAGGTTACTTGCTGTCCAAAGTAGAGGAGAAGGTTGGCTCCCCTGAACGGCCTCTCTCTGACCTGGGACTCATCAGTTATAGGAGTTACTGGAAGGAAGTGCTCCTGCGCTACCTGAACAACTTCCAGGGCAAAGAGATCTCCATTAAAGGTACTTAGTGTTATGTTCAGTACTTTGAAAAAATCAATTAATTAATTATTTAAAAATAAATTATTTTATTCAGCATAGATGCATTAAATTAATCAAAGGTGACAATAAAGACATTTAGAATGTTAGATGTAATGGATGCTTAAAAATTCCGTTTTCCAATCACAGGAATAAATTACATTTAAAATGTATTCATATAGAAAACAGTTATTTTAAACTGTTATAATATTTCACGATATTGACTGTATTTATATAAATATGCAGCCTTGGTGAGTATAAGAGACTTCTTTCAGTAGTGTGTGTTCCTTTATCTTCCTTTCCTATTTGTGGATGTAACACTTAATATTATGAATAATTGTTTTCATTCTTTGTCATATATTAACACTTGGGAGCAGAAATCAGTCAAGAAACAGCTGTCAATCCTGTAGACATTGTCAGCACTTTACAGAGGCTTCTTTCAGTAGTGTGTGTTCCTTTATCTTCCTTTCCTATTTGTGGATGTAACACTTAATATTATGAATAATTGTTTTCATTCTTTGTCATATATTAACACTTGGGAGCAGAAATCAGTCAAGAAACAGCTGTCAATCCTGTAGACATTGTCAGCACTTTACAGTCACTCCAGATGCTGAAGTACTGGAAAGGGAAGCACCTGATCTTAAAAAGACAGGTAACTGTAATTGTAAATGTAATGTCTGTAGTCATTTTAGCAACAGACTGTTTACATGAATTACAGGCTTGTTATTTTGATTATTTTGTGTGTGTGTGTGTGTGTGTGTTTTAATGCATTTAAATGGTTGAATGATTTTTAGGATCTGATTGATGATTGGAAAACCAAAGAAACAAAACGTGGAAGCAACAAGACTATTGACCCTACGGCCTTGAAGTGGAGCCCACCCAAAGGAACCTAAGACAATAATCTGCATGCTCTTCACTGTTTGCTGTAGTTCAGCAGGTCTTGGTCACTATTAGAATAGCTCAACACATAGGAAAGTGTTTTCTTTGTTACAAGTAAGGCTGCAATCCTAACGGTGTCCTGTACGTGTCACATGGTTCAGTTAAAACATTTCGAGTTACCTTAACTGTTCTATTCTATTTTTTTGAAACATGGTTAACATTTCAACAAGCATGGTAGAACTGCTGTATCCACTTTGCTTGATCCAGTTCTGATAGGGATAAACAAAAGAAAGGTTTACAAAAAAAGTTTTTTTTGGTCTCTCAATGCAACATTTTATTGCAACATGCATTACACATTTACCTTTTAGGAATGTCTGGAAAATGTGATCAATCATCTTATGACTCTGTGATACTAACTCCCATGGGTCTAGAAAATAAAACAGTGTCAGAAACCTTAGTGTGGTACCATATTTAATTTTTGAAAGAAATGAAAACGAGGCTGTGAAGAACAGAAGTACAGGGCATTCAATAGATTGTATATTGTATTCAACAGATTTAACAACATACCGACTGTTCAGCCGACAATATGTCAGCCTTGCTTTCATCTGCATTAATTTTAATTTGGTGTCTTAACCTGACTAACCTGACAAAGAAAAGAAGCTACCATCCCTTGATCAGCAAGCGTAACCAGTACTATGCATCTAAAGATAGATATGAAATGAAGATCTCTAGTAATTAGTGTACCGTACCTCCATTTTTTAGCTTCAGAATCTAACTTGCTCCTGAAATACAAGGTCACAATTAAGTACTATAAAACAAAACATCTTCCCAATCTGAATGGCTGGTCAAATATTACCCTTTGAGCCAAGCAAAAAGTATTCTTCCCAGCATCCCAGTTCCATCTGAAAAAAAGAGGGAGAAAATGGTTAGAAAAGCATGCATTCAAAAATAAACAGAAGTAATTTGTGCACATACCCCTAAGCAGCCACGTTATTGTAGCTGCTGCAACTGTTGCTTCTTGATTTCCAACCCCAACACCCCTCAGTGAAGCCTGAGTGGCGAGTGTGCCAGACAGAGAGCTAGAAAATGCCTTGGAAAACAAAAGACGGTGCTATAATATTAGTGTGTGTGTGTGTGTGTGTGTGTGTGTATATATATATATATATATATATATATATATACATATACATATATATATATACATATACATATACATATATTACATATATATATATATACATATACATACATATATATATATATATATATCAGGGGGGTCAGTAAGATTTTTTTTTTATTAAAGAAATTATTACTTTTAAAGTTGGATTCAATTGATCAAAAGTGACAGGAAATATATTTTGTTGTGGCAATTTTTATTTATTGCTGGAATACTTTTAAAAGCAAGTACTTCTGTACTTTTACTTAAGTAAAAATATCTCTTTACAACTTTTACTTGTAATGGAGTAATATTTGGCCAGCAGTATCTGTACTTTCACTCAAGTAATGGAGTTGTGTACTTTGTCCGCCTCCACCTAAATGCAGTAAACTATTTTGCCAAAAATCTTTATGTTTGGCTAATGAATTTTCCCCCAACAACAAAATCAAAGAATCTTCAGCACTACATGAGAGTCAGATCTATGGCACTTGTACCTGCACAGTGTCCCAGAGCTGATACTGTACGTAATCCTCACTGACACTCTCAGGATACCCCTGTGGCAGGAACACACTCTGGGAGAGGAGAGAGCAGTTAGTGATGTCTCAGAGTTTGTGTAAAGGATCTGAAAGACTTCCGTGTTTTTCTGTGTCAGTCGCGCACTTTAAACACGCCAGAGACTGAATCGTGCGCTGCATCCTTCTGTCTCTTCATCCTCCCATCCTTCAGCAGGTATTTCCACGACTCCTGAGCCATAGCGCTCTGTGGCAATCACCCCTTCACAGTCCTCCATCTCTGCCATCTGCACATCAGTCAACACGTGCGCATTAAACACAAACGCAAAACCAAAATCAATGACTTCAGGTCTTTTACTTTGAATTTTCACACTCAACTGTAACAGCAGTCTCACACATTGCACCTCGTGCACATTATCTCACAAAATATATTTTTGAATAAAATAGCGTTTTCTGTATGTTGTCACGCTGTGTAGGTTGCCATGCTAAGGACTAAAATGACTAATACGTGAAGGAGTTTCAGTAGATCTGACTGGAATCGCCCACCTCACCCACGACCCACGCTTCCGTGTTTAGACTGTATCGCTGCGTCGAGAGTATGTCGCGGCTTCTGATTGGCTCATGGAATTTTACGTAGACGCAATCAAAACAATACCAAACTAATTCATTTACTTAATTTCCTTATTTGTGTGGTTACATCATACACAATGATTTGTTTTATTTGGTTTGTAATTAAAGTACAGTATGTACAGTATGTGCAATAACCTTATAATTATTTATCACCCTAAACCCTAGTACATCCCTACAACTTATTTTATTCTATTCCTATTCCATCTATACCACATCCTGTACATACAATTTATATTTTTTTGTGGTTTATATTCATGCATGTGTATTTTATTCACATCTCATTTGTATTATCTGTGTGTTGTTGTTGGGCAGTAAATAGTTACTAATAATAACTATTTACTGCCCAACACAGAATAAGGCTACTTTTACTAGTTCAAAACAATCATGTAAAGCAATAGTTCTCAACCAGGGGATATATTTAGCTTGAACCAGGGGGCCTCAGCAAACTTGTTAAGATGACCTCAAATGATTTAAAATAAGCATTCCAAATACAATGAGCTAAAACAGCAACAAAAATATGATTTTATTACTTTATTACTTCAAATTCACCCCCTCACCTAGGATTCCCATCTTGTAAATAAGTAAGGACACGCATACTTATTTACATCTATTTACCTGTACACACATCTAATACCGTCTGTTGTCTATTTTGTATATTGTATATTTTTTTGTACTGTTTGTACTGTGGAAGCTTCTGTCACCAAAACAAATTCCTGGTATGTGTAAACCTACCTGACAATAAAGCTCTTTCTGATTCTGATTGTAGATGAGATGGTCTAATTACAAAAAGGGTTGTTTTTCTAGACTTGGAAGAAAAAAAAACATACAAGTGAGGTGATTTTCTCCATATTTGGACACATAGGATAAGTTGATGTATCAAGTGACATACCTGCATGCCTGGACTTGAACATAGCACCTGAAAAATGTTGACATAAATCTAACACTAAGGTCGTTTCCAAAGGAAGCAAATCAGAAATCTGTCAAAGAACATTCATGAAACATAACAGGCTCATAAATCATGCAGCTGTCCAATATTTCTGTCCAATTAAGAGATCAAACACATGCAATCTCTGTTTACGAACACAAGCCCTGCAGGGGCCTCAGCTTCCATCTCAGGAACTTGATTCTTGTGAGGCTGTGATTGCGTAAATACATAGAAAGAGAAATAAACAGTGAGAGAGAATGAGTAATAGCAGCATGAAGTCAAAGCGTCTGTGTTACAAAGTCTGCAGAAGCTACTCGTGATTCACAGGGACACCAAGGTGTGGTAAACAGACTGATAAACGTAAGAGCTAAAGAATGTGAGTGGAAGTACCTCGAGCTGAGTGGGAGTGAATAAGACAGTGGGAGGGAGCAAAAAGTGGAGGTGTGGTGTTTTTAATTCTGTCATTGTTGTAGCGAAGCGGTTCAAAACGTTTCCTTCACACTCTGCCTCCTCTAAGGTCGAAACTGGAGCTAAAGAAGCTGTACTATATAGTTCACATACATAATTGAAAACAAGAGGAAGTTTGGATGGGAAGTCGTCTCGAATCGAGTTGTGACAGCGACGTGTGACATCTTTTTCAAAGGACTCTAGAACTTCTGTCACTACATAAACTGAAAGAGTTATTAGCAGAGTACCGATCACCAGCCACTTTCTACTCAAGCAAAAACACCAAACTTATTTGGTTATTAAATACCTTTGGCTCTCTGGTCAACCTGAGGAATTTTGGACCCTTCTTCCCTCAAGATCAAGTCTGGGCGAGTCTGTAAGTACTGAGAGCTTAGGTTTCAATAACTGTGTTTCAACTGGCATGTTTTCCATTCCTGCTACCTTTTTAGAAAGATTATTATCTTTTTGGAGGCAGACTTTACACAGCCGAGATTTCGATTTATCACGACAGTCTAGCCAAAACTAGCAAGTGAGATCTGTCAACACTCTCTTGTAATACTGATGCCAGTTACTATCATGCCATGACTCTGTCTCTGTCCATACCGGTTTTTCAAGCCCCGGCACAATAAGAGATCATAGAAACGCACTTCACCTTAAATGCTTTAGAAAACCCCTTTGAAATTGTTCTAATATATATTTTTATTCCCCCTCTTATTTTTTATTTGTATTTTTTTTAAATACTCCTATCAAAACTGAAAGCAGAAAATCACTGTCAAGAACCAGTTAAACCAGCTTGCGATAAATCACTGCTTGGTGTTTAAAACTTGATTCAGACAAACTTGAACTACACTGTAACCATTGTAATATAAAGTACACTACAAAAGCACCAAAATACAGTAATGTGCCATTACTTCCATGCTGACTCCCTTATATTTATACTTTGTTATTTGTTACTTTGAACAGAGATGTGCGCAAACGAACTAAGAGAAGTGAAAGTTGAGGATGCTTTACTTGAACAGCCTGAGCCGAGGGCTGACTCGCACAGCATCACCTGTCATGACATCTGTAAGGACACAGACCATCGTAAACTAGCCATCTGCAGCATCATATGTGGCCTCTCCTGCTTTGGAATTATGTCCCTCAAGTACTCCGTCAAGGTAACTAATGCTGATCAGTGCTGTTTGATTGCATTACAGCACTACTATTGTAATAAGTATCACTAAGCTCTATTTAAACTTATATTTAAACTTAAATGGTTTAGTAACCCACCCATGCAGTCTCAGTAAAAGATTCAAGAGTGTAGACAAACACAAGATGTGAAATGAAAATAAACACTCCAACTGGCTTCCTCAAGTAGGCCTATTTTCATGACTGATGATCTTATTTAATTAACAGTTTGGGTTTGTTCTCATATACTGTACAGCTATTCAAAGACACTCAGCTGAGATCTGTTGCCAGTAATATAAGATACTGTTGGTAAAGATGGGACACAATGAAACAAGAGTACCATGAAACTTAACTGCAGTCAGTGATGAAAGAAATGTATGCATGCACTAATATAATCTAAGAATCGAGAGAAAAAAAAAGGAAATCTAACACCTTTCCTCATTTGTTTTCAGGCTCGAGAGACAAGAAAAAGACTTCAAAATGAAGACTGTCCAGAAACACGAGAGATGGTTAAGAAATACTCAGAAAAGGCGTGTAAATGGGGAATTGGGTCCATTGTAGCCTGGGTGGTTTTAATTCTCATTTTTCCATTGCTTCTGGGATTTCTGTCCTTTGTTGTAACCTTCATAGATTGACACAGAAGAAGCGTTTCTACAGTTAAATGAGCAACCAAAGCAAATGGAACTGTAGGAGTGCAGAAACAGACTCTTTCAGTGCTCACACCGGACACTGCATCTAGACCATCCACAAATGTAACTTGATGACAATAGGTTGGATATTAATGGTCATTATTTAAATTCTGTTTTGAAAGGTGCTTGCCCTTAGTTTGGATCAAAGGTCCACAACGTACTACCTATAACATAAGAGGATTCAACAGTTTGCACAAAGGACTAAATATTATTTGTATGCCTTTTGGGTAGCTGCAAAACATACTGGATTATATTAATGACATACTTTAAAAATACAGTAACTTTCAGGAATTTGTTACATGCATGAGATGGAGCCATGCATAAAACCATCAGCACTGTCCAGACAAAAGCAACTTTTACACTTCAGCAAGCTGATTTTATTTCTGCTCTTAAATTGGAAATGAAACATTGAGACACTCACAGAGAGCACGGCAGTCAAATGTTGAGATATGGATGTGGTTACATTATTAACATTCTGTTCTTGTAAATAAGTTGTACTGTTTCAATACCTTGTGCTTTTGATGTTTTGTACACTGCATGCATTTCAGATTTTGTAATAAAATGTGTAACAGTCAAAACGCACCTGCTCATTGTGAACTTCTTACAAACAACTCGACAAAACGGCAAAATACAAAACACAGTTCAATTGTATTCTATTAGAAATACAGAACGCAGACTTCTATACAAGTTTACACACAAACCATTCAACGTGTTCAAACACCACAAGCAGCATTATAAATCACTACATCAAAGAAGAACAAAAGCCTAAATTATGTGAATGGACTATAGATAGAGTACCTGAGTAAAAGCACAGAATGCACTGAAACCTTTAAAGCCTTTATGCTTCTAGATGAGAAGCATCAAGCATAATCTAAAAATTAACAATGCAAACTTTGTCTCACTGGTAACTCGCTGTATTCAGTGCTGTCACTACAAAGTCCTTTGTGGCGTCTCCTTTATAATGAAACCCACAGGCCATCCTGAGAGTGTATTAATAAGGCATTCGTCTGAACCAAAGAAGCTTAAATGTTTTAAAAGAGGAATATACTGAGCGAGGAAAGGTTTATGACTCTTCATTTGAAACACTTTCTGATACGGAGATGTGGTGAGTAGGAATGGGAGATATCTTAAGCCGCAGATTCATGTAAACAAGTGCTTTCTTTGAATGGTTATAAATGGACGAAACAGAATGGAGCCGTTTCTTGTTAAATCAGTCAAATCTACAAAATAAACACCATTACCTTGCAAAATATATAAAGCATGTGATGTATTCTTTACAGTACATCAGTAATAAAGCAGTTTACAGCTCTGCAAGTCTATTTATTGTCGCGGTGTTGAATTTACAGTCAATTTTAACATAATACATACAAATCCCATTGTTTGGTACAAAACAACCAAGATCTCTGCCTCAGCCCACAACCTGCTGAAGTGCCATCCAGGTGTCCAACTCCTCAAGTTTGGAGTAAAGTAGGGAGTCCAGCTGCGGCAAGGTGAGGCCATCCTCCACACTGGAAGAGCCCCCTACACCTCGTCTGGTTCTACAGATCCCAGCGGTCCTCTGGGCTCCACCCGCCGCCATTACACCAACCAGAGGTTTCTTGGGCTTCCTGGCAACACCCAGTTCAGGGAATTCGACAAAGCGCTTCACCTTTTTTTGGCCTACGACGGCCTGAGAGCCATCACGCCGGTTAAGAGGCACCTCAAATATGGTTTCCAAACGTCTGAAAGGGTTTGTAAAACTTGCTTCACTGATCAGAGTATAAAAGAGAAAGAATAAAACAGCCCACTAAAATCTCAAAACCTAACCGCATGCTCTCAATGTAAATTCAAGTCTTAAAGGGATAGTTCGGCTAAATAAATAATTTACTCACCTTCATGCTGTCCCAAACCCAAAAGTCTTGAAAAACAGAATATGATATTTTTAATGAAACCTGAGAGATTTCTGTCCCTCAACTGAAAGTCCAGGTAACAAAAACAGAAGATCCAAAAAGGTCATAAAGGTGTCATAAAATGAATCCATATGAATTGTGTGATTTAATCAAAGACTTGTTGAAGAGATATGAACGACAGAAACCGTCATTTAAAAAATATCTTAGTTTGTTTTTTTCCCAAGATTAACCAAAGCCCCATGGGTTTAGAACAACATGAGTGTGAGTAAATTATAATAGAATTGTAATATTTGAGTGAACTATCACTTTAATATACTACATATTAATGTAAATTGCATTTAAGACTGTAGCGGGTAGACATTAAGTCACTGGTGATGTGTGTATCAAACCGTGATATGTGGTATGAAATAAAACTATGGAATGATTAGTATAGTTAAATAGAAGAAAACTAAACGCACTAGCCCACATTTTTACTTTGGCAGCATAAGAACAGATTGAAAGCTTTAGAGCTGCACTAAAAAGCCACTGGGCTATTGGGATGTTCTGTCTGCCCCAATGTCTGAGAGTACTAGAAATCCTGAAGGTCAGTTAAATAAAGATATGATCATAAAATCAATAAATGCAACCAGTCTGAAAGGAGAGCCAAGCACTTCTGTCAGTTTGATTACCAAATATATAGAGAACCAATTATTAAGTTGATAGAGTAACTCCGTTATCCAGAAAACAAATCATTTGGAAAATGTCTCACCCATCAGGAGGTTTGCTGAAGTTTTTGTTTGTGTAGATTTCCTCCAAGCTGAAATCCTTCTTCTTTACTCTATAAAACACAAAACAAGAAATGTATCTTTCCTCTGCTGAAGTACAGACACACAGATTGTTATGACCAAGCCTATATATAACATTCTCTTCACATACACACCTGATGACCTTAGGAAGGCCCATAGGGGTGAGATTATTCTGAGGCTTTGGAATCTTTTTACGGATACGAATAGAGGACACCTTTCCATGCTGACCATCCTTGATCTCTGTCTGTTTACACGGAGAGCGAAGATGCAATTTGGATCAAGAAAAATTACACATTTTAGACCACAAACCAAAGTTAAGAGAAAACTCATACCTTGATTTCAGAGTCTGAAAATGCTTTCTCCTCTGAGATTCCTGCAGAGAGTTTAAGGTTAAAGTTGGATCTCTCTTCATCTATCGACTCCTCACACTCCATCTGAAGCACCCGACGGTCTCCTTCCAAAGAGCTTTGTGAAAACGCACTTGAGGAAAGGAAAAGTAGGATTTTAACAACTGCCTTGCATCTTTATTAACATCTTCTTATGGGAAAACGTCTGAGATCATCAGCATGATAGATTATACAATAGCAGGTCATAAAAAGCAAGCATACTCCGATAGGAAGGCTGGGAATTTGTTAAATTACCTGCAGAGTGATGACACAGAGGTGGAAGGTGTCTCAGGGCTGGGAGTGACAGAGGAAGGGCCAGTTGAAGCATGACAGGACGTGAGGGTGGAATAAAAGGGGGGACTGAAGGAGGATGGTGATGATGAGGTGACAAAACTGGAGGCAGCTGAAACACTGCCAGTGCTGGTGTCGCTAGCATGACTACGCCCTTGGCTTGAGCCTTTAGACAAGAACGCTAAAGGACTGGACAAAAAACACGAGGCAAGGGCTGTGAGGTAGGTGGAGGGAGAATAAGGGGAAGAGGGGCACAAAGGGCCACCCCGACTAGCAGGGTACACCTCCTTACGGAGACACAAAGGAGCAATTTCACGCTCAATCTCCACACTGCAGACGGTGTGCCGGCGAGTGCGCTTGGATGGAGAGTGAAGGTGGATGGGAAGTGGAGTGGGTGAGCTCTTTCTGCTGGGTGAGGTAGTGCTGTTGTCATGCGTGTGGGACCGGGGGAAATGGCAGTCACTGAATACTAGGGACGGGATTTCAGGGCAGGAGTAGCTGCGCAGGAGACGGCTGGGACCGCTACCTGACAACGATACTACTGGAACGGCTTCCGTCGCCTTTTCTTGGCTCGCTGCTTCACTGTTACCTCCAATAGCACCTCTCCTTTTTGCAACCGACCCATCTTTTTTTCTTGATCGGATTAAATTCTTTGTGGGTCTGCTTAGTTTTCTTTCTGAATGCACTGGAGCTGTCGAACCAGGCGACAGAAGTTCCTTTATTTCTTCTCTTTCGTTCAGTTCAGAAACACATGTCTCCTGCTCCTCAGCCGAAATAACAGATTGTTCGCTGCGCGGTAGTGTTCTTTTTGAAGGCTTAAGTGGTCCTGCTGGATCAACCACTGAAGTCACGCTGAATTCCTCAAACTTGTGATTGAGTGGACGAATGTGTCTCTTCTGCAAAGCATCACCTGTAATTTTAAGATGCCGTCTTGTATTTCGAGTTTCAATGGTCTTCTCAGACTCCTGTGACTGCATAGGATACTGAAACTCTTCTGATGAACCATTCATGGTATTGTCAATCAGGACATTCTGTGTACCATTTTGAGAGGATGTAGTATCAGTGGCATCATCTTCATTTCTAGAGGTCAGCAAAGTCCTACGTTTTAAATTTTTTCTCAACTGACTTCTAATTGTCTTGTCCTGTCCCATTTTATCTGAGGCCTCAACAGAATGTTTCATCTCAACATCTGCAGCATTACTAATACCAACGGGCACATTTGAGTCTTGGAGTGGTTGCATTATAGAAACCCCTTTCCTCTTTTTCCTAACCTGAACAAATGTTTCTTCCCCCTGGTTTATTTCCAATGCGATGTTATTGTTTTTTATTTTTCTATTCCTCGGAGGTCTTCCCTCTTTAGCATTCTGCAAATCACATTTCCTCCTTGCCTGCAAGTCTTTCTTTGTCTGAGGAGCTTCTCTGCATCTCTTTGGCCTCACTTCTCGGACAGAAATGGTCTTTGGAGGGTCTGATACTTCAG